CGTTTAGAAAAGTAGCTAGGGAAATAGGAAAAACCAGGGATACATACAGGCGTTAAAATTTAAAAAAAGAAACAAACAAAAACAAAGAAAGAAAAGGAATGAAAACTTGCTCATGAAGGGGAGAGGAAAGGTTAGAGCGAATCTCAATGATCCCTATCGCTCAGGGCGGTATGGGCAAGGGAGTCGTGCTGTTAGGCTTTTGGACACATAATGTGTCTGGAAACCTAATGCGGCTATGAGTAAGGCTATTTGTAGAAAACACTATTTACATTAAATGTTGATTATATCAATCTGTTATTTAGGCTACATCTTGAGTATTTTCATAATCTTTGAGTTGAATTTTTTAAAGTCATCAGAAATTATGACTGTTATTTGTTTTAAAATCGCCTGTAATACTTAGCAATTACTCAAATTCGAGCAACAGGTACACTAGTAGATACAGTAATAGATAAAACATACTATGTTTTATCTATGACTGTACCTATTTGATCAGTGGTCGTTTCCAAACTTGGGACTTAAATGTTAACTTAAGACTTTCTCTGTGGCATTTGATCAGTTTTCATCATCCAAATTTTTTCATCATACTAATATTATAAACTAGGTGAAACCCGTCAAAATCGACGGTTACTTTCAAGGCTTATGCTAATTCATCTAACTGCGATAAATTGAGTGAAATTATAGGCCTACATATTTTGAGCATTTAGAATTGTTTAAAGATTAATAAGTATAAAAACAATAATGATATTAATTGCATTAGTTACCAAATATGGTTGATTATTCAATAAATAAAATATTTCCTATACCGTACGTCATCGGAGATATTATGTTATCTGGTATCTCTTCCTTTGGAAGAACCTTTAAATAGTATTAAAATCGTATTGGTGGATCTTTTAAAGTTAAACACTTTCCTGATTTTATCAGTGTAATGCAGATTAATCTATGATTTTATTTGAAAAAAAAATATCTGTTTGTTGGGAAGACACGTTCCAACTTCAAAGGGAGGTATATACGTTACAGTGTAAGTTTGATTTTTCCTTCGTCACGTCACGTCAGTTCATGTCGTACTTCTGTGCCAATGAATAACCCTCTAGCACAGTTTTGAGAAATTGGTTGTGGGGTTACTGTTAAAGCTAGATATCCTAGACATGGGGATGTCAGTTAGTTATATCAGCCTTATCAATTACATAAAGCTGTCAATATAATCTCTCGATGGAATGTTAGGTGTAGTGGAATATACTTGAAGTGAAGTTGGCTTTTATTCTTGAACTATTAGGGGCCTCCTCATTTATAAGGTCGTGTGGCTTCATTGGCAACAAATACAGCAAATGACATAGCAAATGACAATGCCTCAGCATTTCCAAAAACCAAAAATAATGTAAATTGGTTGTCACGTAAATATTGACGTTTACATGCATTGTTAATCAACTTATCTTATAAAGGATGATGTGATCTAGTTTAAAAGGAATATGACCTTTCTGTCATGACAGTAGCTGCTTAAATAGTATTTACTCATTGGGCCATTTATCACAGCCAAAATGTTGTGTTATTTTCAATAATGTTACCGACCCAGTGGGCCACGGTCAGTAATATAGGCCACTGTAAATAATTTGTTAAGATAGGTACCATTTAAGGCTAGATTTCTGTGTTTGGATGTTATTAGACACGGTAAGAGCACAATAAAATTATTCTGCAGATGAATTTTCTGTTGGAAATATAAGCCGAATTATAAATCTCACAATGCGAGTTTGAGCATTTTGTAACTATATGGGTAAGTTAAATAGATTTTTTTAGACTGCTGCTCAGTACACTTTAAGAATATTATATATTTCAGAGATAAATTAAATGGGTTTTTTTGCTGAGTAGCGCTAGTAAACATGCACAACCCTTTTCGTTAGTCTAATAACATTTAATGGCTCTCTAAGAGTTCAAGTTCTTACTTGTATACATATCTATATTATGTTTTCACTATGCTGAATGAATACATTGAAGTAACCTCTCTGAAATGTGTTCAGTATATTGCAGTATTCCAGCTTAATGACTTTCTAAATCCTACACATATTTCTACATAAATATTGTAAAATGTTTTATCCAGTTGCTGTAAACTACTATTAATTTAACAAAATATGGACACAGCTCAAATGGGCACCATGCCCTTCTGCACTTGTATTATTTTGAATTTTACTACACAATCGAAGATTTTTCCATTGATTGAAAACATGTATGACAATAATCTCATGAACCTATGATGATCTGTCTAGAATAATATGGTAAAATATAGGGAAAGTTGTGAAAAAGGCAGACACCAACCCGTAAAATAGATATAAGATAGTTCAATAAGAAATAATTGTAAGAGTTACTGAGATAAAAGGACTTTCCACTGATTTTGTAATGGAATGTTATATTGCAAAACATGACATAATACAGAAGAAAATCAACTTTAAAATCAGAAAACATTGCAAATACTTCTTTTGGACAATTCAGTAACTCCCAAAAAATGTGTGTTGTTTAAAACACAATTTTAAAATTAACAGCTGTTTCATTATAAAGTATTATCCACATGGCCAAAATGTAAAAAAATCTGTGGAGAAATCTGTAAAGGCTTCTGGGGCAGAGCCCTTAGCGAATTTACTTTGTTTTTCTTTTGATAACTCATCTACAGACCAAGACCTTTCATCGAACACCTCTATCAAGTTTCTATGGCCAGCTTCTCTCAAATTAGTGGAGACAAAGTTTCCAATTAAATATTTAGATTCCCCAATGTTAATCTTAAGGGAGAAAAACCAACTTTTATGGAATATCCTGCCCAAACTAATAAAGATATCAAAAAACGAAAAACACTTTGCAAAACTATTGTTTTGATATTTTAATCATCATAATCGATCAAAAAATGAGGGAGGAGTTCTGTTTACGAAAATCGGCTTAGCCTATAGATGTGGAAGTTTGTGTGTTTGTTTGTTTGTTTGTTTGTATGTTTGTTTGTTTTTGTGACCCAAAATACTGGTCGGATTGGGCTGAAATTTGGGGGGATGATAGCTCACATTCCCGATTAACATATAGGACTATTCTTATCTCAAAAATCCTTTCGGGTTCCGCCCCAGTGGCTCTGTAGTTCCCCATGTTAACCTTATGAGTATTCATATTTAAAAGGAATTAAATAATTTAGTCAGCTGTTTCAACTATTTAAGTTGGTTCTACATAGGGTTAGGCAAAAGTCTGGAACCCCCCAGTTAACTTTTTAACGCTTTGCAGTAGGAAAACCAAACTTGGCACATATTTACAACATAAGAAATTGCACTTTTTCATCAAAGTTACAACTTTGTCCCAGTCCCAAATTTTCAAATATAAACACCTATCATGTGGATGCGATGCTCCCTGGTGTGGATTAACGTCCGCACTAGTGAGTACTACGACTATCCGCAGTACTATCCTGATAATTAGACCAATTTGTAAATTACAAGGAAAAAATGTGGTTCAGATTCCACTATAAACTGTAGGTCCCTTAGTTGCCATTAGCTGTATGGGCTATTAATTAACAGCTGTGTCTAAGGAACATGTCGGCCTTAGTCACTAACAAGACTACAAGATCGCGCCACTCATCCTACAGTCATCCTTCACTCATATTTGGGTTAAAATACGCACATAGTGGCGTCCCCATCTTAAATAATTGAATTGAAATTGAATTGACCCCTCATTTTAAAGGGTTTATCAAGAGAAATTGAATGGCGCAAACTAGAGGTCAATATAATATCGCACCCCTAATCAAAATAGCAGCCATTTTAATTATTTAAGATGAGCAAAGATAAAGTCTGGACACCCCCAGTTAGACACCCTACTACAACGCTAAAAGGTTAACTGGGGGGTTCCAGACTTTTGCCTAACCCTGTATGATGCAATAGCATTAAACAGTTTTAGTAAAGTATACCAACATGGTGCAGCACTATTATTTTTTTTCATTTATGACAACATCTAATTTGAACTAAGTAGCAACAAAAAGCTGTAATACTCAATGATAACTGTCAAATCAGGATTGTTTACAGTTTTGTTTATGTTTTTAATATAATGAATAATTTGTGATATTGTGTGAATATTTGGTAATTTATTTTTTTCTATGATTTAGGTGCAGTGGTAGGACATTATGGCTATGGTGGATATGACATAGCATACCTTAAATTTAAAGAAACAAATTTAATTTTACCAAATTTTGTCCTTCCCCATTACAAAAGCAAAGCTTGAGTATAACTGCAATAAGCACTTAATACTTATTTGCCAACCCCGTACAAAGGATACCCATAAGGTTAACATTGGAAACTCCAGAGCCACGGGGGTGGAGCCTGAAAGGAGTTTTGAGATAACATGATAACAATATGCCTATATGTTAATCAGGAATGTGAGCTATCATCCCCCCCAAATTTCAGCCCAATCCGACCAGTAATGTGTGTTTATTTGTCTAACATCCATACATACATCCAAACTTTCTCATTTTTAATATTAGTAGGAAATAGGATGTATTTTAAAATAACGTTAATGGTTAGTATTACGGTATATTGATTTTTAGTTTGGACTAGTGTTGGTCCCAATATGTCAAAACTAGAGTGAGTCTAGAGAGTCATGGTGTAATTTTTATGAGGATTTCGTTATTCCCTGTATCTCTATTAATATGTAAATTGCTTAATTGTATAAGCTTTGTAAGTTTGCCTAGCAAGCTTTCTAAGCTTTATGATTTTTAGGGTGAGTCCAGCTGCCATTAATAAAAATCATACTAACATTTAGGATGAAGTTATATTGGAATAGTGAGAAAGTTATGAGCAATAGAGCAATCTTGGCCTATTTTCAGTTGCTTATTTGAGGCAAATTTCTGTAATCATTTTCAGGCTCAAAATATTTTCTAAATACCTTTTAAAACGTTTTAACTAAGAAACAAAATGTATCTTTAGAAAGGATGTGTATATGTAAATTAAATAAATTTATTTTTTATACTAAAACATTAAATTTTATTACAGGTCATCCCGGTATCAAGAGTTATTAAGTTTGGAGTTTGGGAGTTGATATTCCTCCTTTACACTTTCTACTTTTTGTTTCGCTGTGGCTATGTCATCAACAGGACAGGACTTTTAGAGTATTTAAAGGTTGTAACCAATGTGGTTCGCATATTTAACATAACCTTATCATTTCTGGCGATAGTTATTTGGTGTTTCCACCATCGAATGTCCATCAGGTACGCTCAACAGTACATGAAAAATCACACTAGTGATTCCTTTGACTTTGACAACTTCATAAAGACTTTCAGTTTACTTCAAGTAGTGCTGTCTGTATTGCTGGGCCTTGTACTTACTGCAACCGTTATGCGGATTGAAGGTGGGAGAAGATTCTTGAACTCGTATTACACTTTTGTCATTTCGCTTATTTGGTTGTACTGGATGACTTTGGGTCTACTACTAACACTTTGTGTGCTTATAAATCTTCAATATCTTCTCGATTGTCCACAATACTTTAGGATAAAAGAATTAATATTCTTTAAAAGAATGACGGAGCTTTTAGAAAATAACACTTTGGAAAGTGGCAATGTTCAAATCTTTGTCGCGTTTAGGACAATTGTGATGTTCTTTATTCGTATTTTCTTTATATTATTGTTCTTGTATTATACACGAATTGCCAGAGCGTACAAGTTAAGGGATTCAGACAACTTTAACTTTGTGTCATTTATTTTAGATAGATTGAAAAAATGCTGCAACCGAAATAAAAAATGAAATACATTTTATTCGATAATGAACCTTAAATACCTTTGATTTAATACAGTTGCCAATACGAAGGACTTATACTTTTTAATGTATACTTTGATAAATGTATATTTCATGTTACTTACTGTGCCATATTTGTGGTTTGTTAGTTATTCTGATTAACTTAATAATCTATAAGTTTGTAAATTTGATAAATAAACAAACTTTGTTATTAGAATCAATGCTAAATTTATTTATTATTTAAGCTATACTAAAGCCTTTAATACTTTATCTCATTGTACAGTAAAACAATGTTGCTGTTTTCTATTTAGATTAACTAGAATAGGGAATTGTATTTATAAATACAGAAAAAATGTAAGGGAAAAACATAAAAATATTTGAGTTTAAAATTCTGCCTTTAAAAACATTAAACACTTATTTAAGGTCACATAAAATTTGAGCTTTTACGCACCATGTAGGAAAATAGTGAAAATACTGAGAATATAATCAAAAATATACAAAAGGAGTGCAATTGCTTTACTATCTTTACTGTCTAGTGTCTAATGTAATACCCTGAAAAAACCAAATAAAAAATAGATGGGAGAATATTTAAATATATTAGGGGTAGCATATGACGATGATATGGAGTTAATAGCCAAGCGAAGACCCAGAGAATTAAAAAAAGTCCAATAAACTAAAAAAAAGTAAAGTAAGTAAAGTAAGTAGTAAGTAAAGTGAATTGGACTTGAAGTAAAATAAAGAAAATGCAAAATGTATTAAAGAAGCAGAAATGGTTAAGGTAGGCCTAAATGAGCAAGGTATAGTCTGGAAGGTGTAGCAGAATCCCATCAAGTTTAATATACACCCTGCAGCAAAACTACAGACTAAGCGAATTTCCATTTGCCTGATTTGATTATCAATTAAATCTACAATATTTCAATAACATTAGGTTTTAAAATTGCATCTACATTCTAAAAAGACCAAAAAAATATTTATTCCATTGTTTCAAAAGTGGTCGTAATTTTCAAAAATGACAGTAAATTTAAAAAAATGAAACTGTTTATTTTATGGTTTTTTTAGAATAATGATACAATTTTATTTTAAAGACTTATTTCTTTTAGCATTTTCTCTCTAAACTTACTCGTTTAGGAGCTACATGTACTTACAGACTACTGTACCGTAGTCGGCATCCAGTTCAGATCGCGGCAATGTCAACCGGTACCATGTGTGTGACAGGCCTGTTCGTTGTGTTTTTGTTAATTATTATAAAATGTTATTCATATGTGTTTCAACTATGACGACACTACTTCAGCTGAATGTTCAACGTCTGACGATGGCATTATAATGCCGAAACGGCCGTAACTCAAATTGCAACAGGTTGAGCTGTAGACGAAGGTAAATACCTATTTTTAATTAATATATCACAGCTCAGGGGCTAAAAATGGATTTTAATTAAACTTAAATTTTAGGGGTGAATGAGTAAAGTTACGTAAACATATGTAAGGATTAACATGTTAAGTAAACTATAAGTAGAATACAAAGCATTTATAATATTTGTCAAAACAAATTACTTAGGTAGGAAAAATAGCAAAAACCAATAAAAATTTGGAAGAAAATTAAAAAGTTTTTGAAAATAGTGCGTTTTTTAAGGGTGCAGGGGTGAAATTTTCGGAAAACAAATGAATCATTTTCTAGTCTTTTGTATGTATACTAGGCATGTAATTGAAATTCTTGTATTATTTTTGCAAACCATCATCTTGCTTTGATATGTATTGTTTAATGGCATTTGCCGTAGGAATAAATAAAATAAAATAAAATAAATAAATAAATAAAGTGGGTATTGTAGAAAATTTAATTCCTGACCATGAAAATTTTTTCAAATCTTTGCTAGCTCTTACCGTTTTAAGTTATAGACGTAAAAAAAAAAAAACAGGTTTTGTCGTTTTCCGATGTCCGCCATTTTAAGTGTTTATGGGGGTTAAAATTTTAAAATGTGACTTTTGGAAATTTGACTGTTAATTTGGCATCACATACTACAATGCTGCCAAATTTCATGTCTCTAGCAAGTTTCTAAACTGTTCAGATGGACATACAAAAGTCGGTAACTTTCAATGTTATTCTCCATAAGAATAACATTTTTTTTTTTTTTGTCCTAGGACGCTAGGCACGATCCTGGGATTGTTTGTCACATTACTTTAGGCTAGACCTAGGAGTTGTAGCATTATCACTTAGATAAAATCCATTGGTGACTTGGCAGGGATCGAACCCGGGACCTCAGGGACTGAAGTCCCGCGCTCTGACCACCAGGCCAGCTCGCTCCCCAATACAGAATAACATAGGGCTCGTAAAAGTGCTAAAAAACCTAAAGGTTTTGACTTTAAACTTAAGTTTTGGGGTTCTAGGAGTAAAGTTACGAAAAAACATACTTACATAGTAAAATTTAAAGTAAACTAAGGATAATGCAAAGCATTAATAATATTTGCAAAAATAATTTACTTAGGTTGGCAGAAGTCCATGAGCCAAACCTAAAAATGACCTTAATTGGAACAACCTAGGGTGGCAAATGCAGACTATGTTTTTCTTGTATAGTGTTATGTGTTGATCAAGAATATATGTGATAGCAATGCATAAGTAGTAGCTTTATGTAAAAAAGGTAGGTTTTTATACAACAAAAATGATTTTTCTCAAAAAATTGAAATTTTTTGGTAAATTTGTACAAAGGTCCCAGTCAAGATGGCACGTGCTATCAATGTTTTTCTTGTATAGTTTTATGTGAAGATTAAGAATATATGTGATAGCAATGCATAAGTAGTAGCTTTATGTAAAAAAGTATGTTTTATATAACAAAATTTAAATTATTTCTCAAAAAATTAAATTTTGTCTCATATATTTGTAAGAAGGTACCAGTCAAGGTGGCATGTGCTATCAATTTTTTCTTGTATAGTTTTACGTGTTGATCAAGAATATATGTGATAGTAATGCATAAGTAGTAGCTTTATGTAAAAAAGGTAGGATTTAAAAAACAAAAATGATTTTTTCTCAAAAAATTTAAATCGTCTGATAAATTTGTAAAAAGATCTTAGTCAAGGTGGCGGCTCGTGCTGTCAACGTTTTTCTTGTATAGTCTCATGTGTAGATCAAGAATATATGTGATAGCAATATGTAGTAACTTTATGGAAAAAATAGGTTTTATAAAAAAATAATTGCATTTTTTCCTCATAAATTCGTAAAAGGAACCATTCAAGAAGGCACGTGCTATCAATGTTTTATTATTGAGTTTTGTATGTGGATCATAAATTTACATTATAGCATTATCTATGTAGTAGCTTTTTCGTAAAAAAATAATTTTTAATCTGAAAATATCAAATTTTTTCTTTGAACAAATGTTTTTGGCATGTAGATTTATAAAAAGTGCTCCGATAAAAAAATGTTTAGATTAAATGTTGTTCTTTTGTCCAATGTCTAAAACAAAGCATATTTCCTTTTTTCCGTATGTCTTACTGTTTAGGCTCTATATGGACTGGAGTGCGTTCTGGCTCCATGCTTCAAAACATCAAGTGCGTCTCAAAATAATTAGCATGTCCAGTCTAGCACCAAATTTACATACCTATTAATATTTTAAAATTTAAAATTATTTTTTTAAGAAAAATCTATAACATAGAAAATGGTATATTGTAAATTTATGATCTACATAGTACATACAAAACTTAATAAAAAAACATTGATAGCACGTGCCGCCACCTTGACTGAGACCTTTTTAAAAATTTTACAGAAAATTTCAATTTTTTGAGAAAACAGCCCCGCTGCAGCAAAGCGAACTTCCATTTGCCTGGATTGATTTTTAATTATTAATCTATTAAATTAACAGTTATGTTTAACAAGTACCTAGGTTAGCTGCTATAGGAAAACTAATAAAGTGTGTTTTTTATTAAAATATCAATAGCTTAGTATGAAATAAATGAAAACGCCAAGTTTGATCAAAATTTATTCATAAACAAGCCAACTACAACATATTATAATATTCTCCATAAGAATAACATGGGAATTTTAAATTAAAATTTTTTTGAATTTTCTCCGTAACCAATTATTGTACAAAAACACTTTGATATACTAAATTATTTTTTTTAAGCTCTTTAAAAAGGTCTGGAGAAAAATTGATAAATTGTGTGTTTTAAGGGTGAAAAATTAGAAAACCCCATTTTTACCCCATAAAACCCCCCGTTAAACCCCGTTCCTATGGTATGATCATGCTAGTTCGCAAACTCATTCAAGTTTATCCCGCCTTACACCTTCAAACCAAGTTTTATCAAAATCAGACAAAAATTACTCAAGTTATGGTGATGGGCACATCTCTATACATAAATGTGAAATTCCGATCAATGCACAGGCGAAACCATTGCACCTAGAAGCATGAGATTTTGCATACATATTCCTCTCATAGCCTAGGCAGACAAAAATAAGTGATTTTACAAAATTCCCAATGGTCTCCGCCCCACAGAAGGTCAAAGTTAGCATGGAGTTGGTATAAGAAGAATAATTTGTTTTGGGTTTTTTTTACATTTGTCAGAAATTTATTCAATAGTCAGCTGTTAAAATACAATTTTATTTTAGTTTACTAAGGTTATTTCGGACCAAATAAACATCATGGTTGTGTGTCAGTGAAATTAACCTAATTAACTGTGGTATTTTAGTTGTATCCACTTCTAATATAATGTGATTACTGATTAGTGTTGAAGAAAGTAGAATTGAACTTAGTTTTTTATTACATTTTAATTTTTAAGAACTAAATTATGATACAATTCTGTTAATATTTTTGTAGTTGGTTAAACCATGACAAAGTATGAACACTAAGGTTTTAAATGTTAATGGAGAGTTTGTTCCACGCAATATCATTCACATCAGAGGAGATGGTGCGTGTTTATTTACTTCACTCTCATTCATAATTCACCTTACACACATACACACACCAACTGTGTGCGAAGAAATTGTTGAACATGTTGTGAGAAACTGGGACTACTTTTCAATCTTATCCCACGACAGTGACAGGAATAATTACCCTAATTCCAGGGAATACTTCTATGAAATGTCTGATTCTAAAAAAATTTGAACTTATTTTTTAAACTGCAAAAAACTGATTGTTTAACAATTTTAAAGTTGTTGTAAAATAGTTACAACTTGTCTTAAAACTTATTTTTTTAACTGCAAAAAACTGATTGTTTAACAATTTTAAAATTGTTGTAAAATAGTTACAACTTGTATTAAAACTTATTTTTTTAAACTAGAAAAACTGATCGCTAAACAATTTTAAAATTGTTGTAAAATAGTTACAACTTGTATTAAAACTTATTTTTTTAACAGCAAAAAAATTTATTGTTAAACAATTTTAAAATTGTTTCAATCTTATGTTAAAATTTTTGTAATATGAAGTTTAAATCAAAATGTTTTAAAATTGTTATACAACAATTGTAATTCAATTTTTGAAAATTTTAAAGAATATTTTTACTTATTGGGGTAGTACTCACTCGTGCGGATGTAATTCCACACCAGGGATTGTCGCATCCACAGTGCATGCCTATAAATGTCCACAATTCGTGACCTCCTAGTAGCTGGATTACAGGACGACCCCACCATCCCAGTCACACCTACTATTATAAGATCAAAGAAAGCCTCTCAAACATTTCAGTTTTTGATTTTCTCTGCTTATTTGTGTTATTAAATGCATGCATGGGCATTAGCTTTCTTAGTGAGAGGTTATGTTTCAATTCATTAAACGAAGAACGAAGAGGAAACAAGAAATGGTTATACTTTTTTCTCCAGTTAGGCACTGCCTCTTCAATATTTAGAAACTCCTGGATTATGAAGCAGAAAACAAAAACAATGGAATATAATGCATGGATTATAAGTCAGATAGACGATGCAGACATTTATCAAACTATATTTAGAACTTTGTATTTCGGCTGCCAATTATTCTGTATAGACAGGTGCCTGCCACAAACCCCCATGGAATTAGTAGTGTTAAGCAATAGAAAATTTTTTTGTAAAGGAAAAAAATTTAATTTTTTGTTTGTTAATTTTTGTGTATCAATTGGACCTCACTGTCAAGTTTTGTAATCTTTGGCAAGGCCAAGATGTTGTATTATCATAAATAATATTTATAAATAATACACCATATAGTACCTTTTTTTTAATTATTTTTAATGACTGATGCATTTCAACACTAAGGTCATGGTCACAGTCTTTCACAATGTCATTAAATTTAAATATGTAAATATTTAAATATCATCCTACTTATCCTACTAATATTATAAATGAGAAAGTAATATTATAAATGAGAAAGTTTGGATGGATGGATGTATGTTTGTGACAAGTAAATGTGAAAAATACTGGTCGGATTGGGCTGAAATTTAGCTCACATTCCCAATTAACATATAGACACATTCTTATCTCAAAAGTCCTTTTGGGCTCCGCCCCAGTGGCTCTAGAGTTTCCCATGTTAACCTTATGTGTAATCATATTTTAAAAGGAATAAAAGAATTTTGTCAGCTGTTTCAACTACACAAGTTGGTTCTATGATATTGAATAGCATTAAAAAGTTACAAGGCTTACCAACAGGGTGCAGTACTATTATTTTTTACATTTATGACAACAATATCCATTAAAGGTTAAATTTTGTTTTTAATAGTATATTTCGTACCTAGGGCCGAAAATTAGGTTTTGCCGGCTCGAGATAGTTTTTAAGTTCGAGACGAAGTCGAGAACTTAAATCGATCGAGAGCTGCAAAACCATTTCGGTCCGTGATACGAACGCTATTTTTCACCACACTATACCCTATTACCACTATTCACGACTATAATATAGTCAAAACAACTACAACTTTAAGGTTATGTGAAGAAATAATTTGAAGAATCAGCAAAAATAAAAATAAATAGTTGCTAGGCAACGGTGATAATAACACAATTATATTGCAATGCTATGGATTTTGATTGTGTATTTAAAATGCAATCATGTTTTAAGTAAGTAAGCGGACAGCTGATTTTGCGGCCCCGGCCTGTAAAAACCTGCTCGGTCCCCAAATTATGGACAGCTGGCATCGCCAGCAAAACGTAACTTTCGGCCACCAATTAACGTATGTAATACAGCCAAAAACATGATAGTGTGGTGAAAAAGGCTTTTGTGTAGCTATTTTATCAACAGATGTAAAGATCAAAATGTTTCAATTATGTGTTCTCTTCCCGTTGCAAAGCACGGGTACAACACTTGGTGGAAGGAAAAAACATAGGTGTGCTATTCCCGTCATATTCTGACGTCACTCGGATTGCAAACAAAAGATCGCCTGATTGTAACTGTCAAATTAGTATATGTATTTGTTTTGATTTGGTTGTTATTGTTTTTATAATGTATGTTTTTATAAAAAAATAATAACAATCAAATCAAAACAAATACATACTAATTTGACAGTTACAATCAGGGGATCTTTTGTTTGCAATCCGAGTGACGTCAGAATATGACGGGAATAGCACACCTATGTTTTTCCTTCCACCATGGGTACAACCAAGCCTTGGTACAACAGCTAGTAAATAAATATATTGGAATTTGAATCTCTATTTATCTGTCTGAGAAATAAAATATACAGTCATATGTTAACGAATAAACATATTGTTCCTTCAAATACAAATAATAACTTTTGAATCAATCATTAAAATGTTGTAAACCCAATTCCAGATCAAAAGTGAAATGTTCACATTAAAACTACTTTTAATACTTCAAATATTCACTGTAAACTGGAGGTTGTTTCAATTTCAACATTTACAACCCACATTTAACAAAGTTCCCTGTAGTAATGATCATAATTGTAACTACTACCAAGCCGAGGAAGGATTCCAGTGTTCTTTATGTGCTGAGGACAAAACCAAAGAAAAACACTGCCTCGCTACTTTCTTAGACAAAAGATGGTTTCTTGATGAGTGTGAATTGCCAAAGACCTGCAACATGGGATGTAATAACAATGGGAAATGTGTTATTGAAAAAGACTACAAGCAAGGGTGTGTCTGTCCTCAGGGATTCTATGGCCAGTTTTGCGAGTTTCCTGCTAAAATAGGTGAGAAAAAAATATTTTTTTCTTGAGGAGTTTTTATTTGTTGCAAATAATATAATCGTGCCATTAGGTTCCCCTTCTTATTTCACAAAAAGTATCCTAACTGAAAATGTCATTGTCTTGTCAAAATATTGAACATCTCTCGTGGCCGCAGAAACATCATCATTGTCACCTGTGGGGGGAGTGTTCTCATCAACATCCACGATTGCAGAAAAAGTGTGAATTTTTCAATTGCGTGGGCGTGATCCACGTAGCTGCGTTCTACGGTAGCTATCGCTGCCATTGTGTGGAATAGGTATTAAATAAAAGCATTTGATTGTAATTATATTAACAATGAAAACCAAATTATATCACTTAATGACATTTGAGCTTTGAAAAATGTCATAAAAGCTCCTAGTATGGAATCAGGTATCCAAACTGTGAGCACACTAAGCTGAATCCTCTCTGATGCTGCAAAACATTGCCAACAAAAGTTTAAAGATATGATTAATTCAAAAAGAGCTATGGATGGCTACAAACATAAATTTACGAGCACAGCTTAATGTACGCGTGTGAATTAATGTGTGGTATGCAATCAATGTGGTACTCTTTGTGCTCTCCTTTTAAAGCTATGAAATATTAGGAATTGTTCATGTGTCACACATTAACCAGTCAGTTTAACTTATGTCCTATCATTTTACAACTTAATCCTCTTTCAAAGACAGCCTTCACAATGTCAATCCCATGATCACCTTAACCAGGGGGCTTGAGACTTGTGCTTGTAAAACAAATCAGGGTAAAATATACTTATTGCGGTACGCTAATCTAGGCCTCTATAGGGATGTATCCAAGTGATTTTTAACTTGATTTTTTATGTTCTGTGCTATTTATTATATACTTCACATTTAAAATATGATTTTATCCAAGCCATTTAAAAGTAGATATAAGAATTAATAAGTCTATACACAAAAGTTTGTGAAGGAATTTGGTGTATTATTTTCAGGCCAAGAATATTTCCGCATGATCCAGTGGCATAGAAAAAATGCATTTGTAAAGCCTGGAGAAATAACAAGGTTCTATTTCAAGATTGATTGTGATGCCAAATTAGCCCGTACTGGAGTGAATAGGATGTTTAAAACTGGATTGGGGAATATAGTTAATTTAGGAGAGGCTGGAAAAAGAGGACATGCTCCAGACTTTTCCGAGAACACGGATGGTAAAGAGAAACTTTGACTAATACATACTTTGTATTCTATGGTAGTAGAAGTAATTGTTAGTTGGCCAAAGTTGATAATACTCAGCAGTTTTGGCTACAACACTGGGCTTTGGTAAAAAAAATTTGTAAATACAAATTATAGGACCAAAATGCTTTTATTTTGCTATCTTAACACATATACAAATTTAAAAAGTTCGAGGAAAAAAAATTATTTAGTGTTAAAAATATTGAGATATGAAGACAGCAGATATAGTAAGTCTTCTTCTTTATTGCATCAGCATCAGCTATTGAGATGGAGACGCCACCTAGGTCCGTATTTTAACCCAAGAATGAGCGAAGGATGAGTGTAGAGTATGGTTTGAGCAGTCATCTGTGTAGCTTTGTTACCATACTACGATCAGCTGTTTCACCAGTCATGATCATTTTAAAGCCCAATGATCAGGGACAGCTGGGTCCGATTCTGAACCATAAGAAGCTTAACTTTCTGAGAATTAAACCGGCCTGCTATTTCTGAATTTGAACCTTTTTATTGCTAGGCTAGCACTTTAATCACTCAGCTACCCAGCCATTATAGAAATATGTTGTAGACATTTTAAAGTTGCAAGACCTTGCAACTTACAAGTTACATTATGCAAGTTACATTACGCAAGTTACATTATGCAAGTTACATTATGTTAAGACACATATTGTTTTGTTATTTGGTTTGATTGAAGCAGTATAAAAAATTGGTGTGTTGGTGAGGAAGGATTTTATTGCCAATGTGCATCCCACCCTCATCTCTAATACATTCAATCTACTGTCATTTTTCAGATCCTTCGCTAACAGTTCAGTTTGAGGACTACATTGACATGCAGTACCCCTATTTACTGCCAGAAAACGAGTATGGGGTGACTGTGCTGAAGATGAACAACAAGCTGAAAGGATATTTGTCTGCACTAGATGTTAAAATTAAGACTACTCCTTTTACGTATGCATATTACACTTATAAAGTATTTGTCAATTATGATCACATCCCAGTAATGAAATGCATTCCGGTCATACGGCTAACAAACTGGTGAGTCCAACGTTAAATTATAACTAAACGTTTAGTTTTGAATAAAAAGTGTCTAGCATTAACATTAAAAAGTAAACATTAGGGGTATCAAATGTTTAATAACTTATGTGTAATAATTATTAATTATTATTTTTAGAAAAATTCTGATCAAAGAAATGATCAGATCAGAAAATTATCAGTCCTAGATTATTTTGAAATTAATATTATTTTATTTACCTTTTTAATAGCGCAAGAACACATTTTAACTCGTCAAAATCAGTTTTCCATCGTAATGAGAACATTATCATCAAACACAATGTAAAATTTTTGGAGGACGGAGCTTACTTGTCAACAGCAAAAGAGAATCGACAGAAATGCACAATGGAGGACACGACCTGGATATGGACATGGTCCAAGTGTAAGAGATTTGATTTCATTTAGGCCCACTTAGTAATAATTTTTATTTACATGTTAAGGAAGGATACACAACTAACTCACCTGAAGTCCCAGGAGGATAATAGAACACATAAAAGTTAGAGATAATTCTAAAGCCAAGTTGTTTTTTTTTATTTTCCCCTTAAAATCTCTTTATATGTTAAGTGACTCAAGACCACAAAAATGAAATTTATTAGTTAAATAGCTTAAGTTAACAGACAAATGAAAAACAATATGAGATTATATTTTAGTACTTGGAAATATGATGTTTTAAATATTTCAGTCGTCCTGAAATGGAAAATAGTATTGAACTATTGAACTGAAAAAGAATTTTTACAATGATTAATGTTGATGTTGAAAAAAAGAATTTTCTTTTTCAGAACCTGTATCTTGAGGATCAGTCCTAGACGCCCCAATTTTTGTGGTTTTATCAATGATTTGCCTTATTTCATTCCTTGTTAAACTCTTTAAACCACTCTTTAAGCTGATCCGAATTTGATCTAATCACTCGAGGAACCGGAATGAGGTGTCAAGGTTAGCTAAAGATTGGTTTGAAGAAAATTACTGAAATCCAAACTATACAATAACAGAATAAATTAATTTTAACCTTTAATAAAATCATGATTAGAGTAAATCAGTAAAATTGCTAGGAACCTATACTGATCAATTCAAATGAGCAGACAGACTATTATGTAGTAAATTGACCTGAATAATATCTTGTTTACAAAAATTAAAGGGCAATGTTAGTGAAAAATAGGTCTCGATTGTTAATGCCCATTTTCCCATTCCCATCTACAATACGGGGTAACTCTTCAGGAGCAAAAACAGATTGATAAAGGTAGTCAGATTCATTTGGGGAGTAAAGCCCAGTCAATTGTAGAAAAGATCTCAAAGCTGCAAACTTTTAAACCCTTCCATGTTTGTATGTTGTAAATTATTACATTCCAAAGAATGTTAATTTTTACAGTAAAAAATTACATATATCTCTCTGTATATAGGACTACATGAGCATTAAAAAAACAACCATCTTATTTTTAATTTACCACTTGCAAGACTTCCACTAACACACAATATCTACAAAAATATTGCATAATTCAGTTATTTTTGTTAGGGGCCTATATTAATTACCTCCTGCAGCAACAAATCCAACCAAAATCTGAAAAACTCCCAGGGATCATGACTGAAATCCATTTTCTTTCTGTCTTGATGAGTTTTTGTTCTTGTAGGAGTTTTAGGATGTAAATTTTGTTAAAGATATATTAGTATACTTTTGTAAATTCATCTCTTTGTGAAATTATTACCTGTTTTATTTTACTGTTAGGTATTTTGGTGTTAGGCTGTTGGTACTATATGTATGTTATTTGATGTCAGTTGCTCCTTTGGCCCACAAGCATGGATCTCATTCACATGATTTACTAATATGTGTCAAAATTAGTATATGAATAATAATGTATATGTACAAGTTTAAATTGTTACATCCTAGTTATGAAGAGGTTGTTTTAGGTAATGATAATAGGAGAACTACATTTCAAGGAGATGGAGAAATGATTGAAGAAGGAAGCGCAATTGGAAACATCCGTATATTTGAAAAGTTTACCCTCGGTATCGGAAAGTATCGGGTAAATCTTAGGATAAAAAGAGTAATACAAGCTTCTACAAATGAAAATTTTGACGAGGTGAGCTCTTAGGTTGTACCAAAAAATGTTTAAATTAGCAAAAATCAGTTGAACCAAACCTCTTGCTTTGATCTGTGCCATATTCATATTTACCTACAGATAAAGTTTTGCTTGTTTTATACGTGCAAGATACCTGGTGAAATTGAACTAATGGTGAGAAAATTATCATATGTATTTATGATAGATTGTAAAAATTAAATACCCTTAAAATAGTACCATTTACAACTCTGTCATAACTTGCGGAAATTTATTGTTCTGTTATGAATTTATAAGATAACTTATTTAATGTTACTAATAACTTCCATGTAGGTATGATACATTGTATTATATCATGACTCATGAGTTGTATAAAAAGAGGTTAAGCTAGCTCTTAAACTCACTCTCACTCCGTTGGCCATTTATACCCAAGGCAGGATTTGGCCGCACCAACAACTGCTCTCCATCTCTCTCTATCTTCTGCCTCTTCCACTGCTGCCCCCACTTCTCTGACATCCTTAGTTCTGAATTTATCTACTGATATGAACTGAATCCACTTAGCTCTGAAACTTTACCTTAAATTCCCAGGACCAACAAAAATGCTACATTTTACTCTTACTATTGTAATCTCTAAATTGTTTTGCCCAAAACTGATTCCAAAATTTTGATTCCGAAAGCTAATTATTGATTGATAATGTATATTTCAGTGTTATTTTCAAGTGAAACCATTACCCCTTAAAGCAGTAATCGAAGGTGGAGAAGTAAGGAGGGTTATGAAGAATACTGGAGTGTCCCTGGTTGCAAAACATTCCTACGACCCAAACCAACCATCAACCGACCAGAGTTCTCTTATGATACTTTGGACATGCGAATGTTTAACAAAACACATCCAGAATTGCGAGGATACTTGCAAAATGAACAAGAATAATCCTGTTTGGTTATCAGGTGTGTACAAATTTTGAATGTTGCAACACTTTTCAGATTGCATGAGGTATGTGCAATGTCAAAGTAACTACAGTGCTTAAAAATATAATTTTATAAAATTTTTATCTTAAGACTATGATTATGAATTATGATTCTAATTATAATTATGTAACAAATAATAATTAAAATCCCCTGAAACAGTAAACTTGACTGTAGTAGGAAGTAACCCCACCATAAATTAATATATTCTTTGTTTTTAGCCAACCAGGAATTCTTTTTATACTCAACTCAGCTGCAGTACAATGCAGAGTATAAGTTCACCCTGACTGTGGACAGCACAATCAGGTATAAAGACACAAAGATAGCTCCTCAGTTCAGTTATGTTACCATCAAAGTGGCTAATGAGTCTGACATTGCAGTGACTAACTATTTTATTGCGTAAGTATACTGTAATCTCTTCTACATACCTTGGATAAAGATTAGTTAAAAAAAATATGAAATCGTCTTCTCTAACTGAGAGGTATCACATAGTTTTTAAAAGCAGAAAGTTTTAAAAGCACCCAATAGTTGGTTCTTTTAACTCTAATTAAATATATAGATGTCGAAGAATTGTATGATAATTGTTGTCCAATACAAACTAACTTGTGTTTTTAGATGCGTGATAAACTGTTTAAAAGATGGGACTCTGCCCAATGAAGTGTTGTTTTTGAAAGCAAAAGTCTCTGTGATAGGAAAGTCAAAGAGCAAAGTAAACAAGAGTATGAAATTTAACTGGGTTTACTCAAAGGAAAATGATTCAGTGCTCCATCCAGTGGATTCAATTTTGCTTACCACTGACCTTCCTACCAGTATGCTAGCGATCAAGGAAGGTTCTTTTACACAAGGGGTGACCTACACTATCATGCTTAGAGGTAAATTGAAACACATTTTGGTCGGATATAATATGGGATATACCTAAGAGTCATAAAACAGAGGTTTTAAATAATTTAATTAATTGTAAAACTGTTGATTTGAATTGTTAATACAAGAGTTGTCCGGGAATTAAGGACTCCATCGGTTCCCACCGCAGCCAAGTGTTCAAGTTCAAATCTGAGACCAACATCATGTTCTTTACTATGATTAGAAGTGAATGTGAATCACTATAAGGCGCTAACATGTCTAAAAACCAAGCACCCACTGAGTATATGAGTATACTACACTTACTTACATATTAATCTACCACCAACCTACACCCCCTACCTTGTATGATAATCTATTTTTATGTTCCAGAATATGATAACCCAGAACATGTTGCACAATACAGCTTCAAAATGTCTTCCATACATTATGAGGGAGGCTGCAGAGTAGAGCCTGAGTCAGGAGTGAAAGGACTCACACCGTTTGATATCATCTGTGATGGATTTGAAGGTCTGGTTTATGAATTTTATGATAAAAGTGAAGAAGACGTGGCTGAAAACTTGGTTTTTAATGGTAAGAAACTCATCATATAGACTGAAGTTTGAGTACATCTTATCTTACTATCTATAATATTAAAACAAAACAGTGTTTTTTTATTCACGATTCTGAATCAACCACTCGACGGATTTTCATGATTTTTGTGTTGAAAGAAAGATAATTTTGAGAACTAGGGAATGTCGAAGCCATAGTTTTTGTTTACGGTCCCAGTTATTTAGAAATTAAGTTTTAATTTTTGAAAAGTCTAGCAGCCGACGCGAAGATTCTAAATTAGCTTTTGGTGTAATATAATTTGCTTAACATAACAGCTGTAAACATTCAGCGTTTGTAACACAAATTCAGCATTTGGATAAAATTAAAAGACATACTAAAGGGTTGACTTATTTATACTATGTGTAATACTAATCATTGATACGTTCAATCCTTCGATGAGAGGATGACAGATTATTTAAATATACATAGGTAAAATACTAGGATGTTCAAAGGATTTTTAAATAAATCTTTGTAATCTTCGGTTTGTTTTAGTGCAATATAATTTTCTTTTAACTAACAGCTGGTTAAATATAAAAATGCTCTGTAGAACTATGAGGTTATTTTATTTACTCAGATTTTGTCATTGATTATAGGAAATAAGTAAGATTAGTAGACCACCGAGAAAAGTAACACCATCGTTGTATACAAGTCGAGGCTCTGTACACGAGTCTTAAAAAAAGGATATACAAATTATTATACTGCTAAACTTTTTTAGGAAAGGGTAGGAAATTCCATTTTTTACACGTTTTAATTTATCTTGGTTTGTTTACAATCAATGTTTTTGAATGATTAAACTTTGTTTGGATTAGGCCCGGAAATATTGATGTCATAAAGAAGGAGATCAAGAATCCTCAGGAATACAATTTTAAATTACCACCACAACCCAGACGGGTTTTATCCAAAGATATACAGATATGAATTACATAGATTGAGCACAACGTCATCATTGACCTAGAATACTACAATTAGACTAACCATCCTTTTATGAAATCTAAAAAGTTGTTTGGCGTGTGTTTAGTTGTTGTGGTTACGTTTGGAGACGCTGAATTTTATAGTTTAAATAAATGAATATGGGGAATTACGGTGTACATTGATTCAATGAGGTTGGTTTAATTATTAAGGAAATGGTTTAATCATTAGAACTGATAACGGAATTGATAATAAACATAGACAATTAATTACGTCACTGGCTTTACTAGCGTGTTTTACGTTTTAAATTCCTTCAACATGTGACCAGTTATTTTGTTCAAATGAATATTATTTTATTTTTGACTCAGCTGTTTACCAAAACAAACTATATGTTGTTGTTTTTACTTTTCTTTGTTTACACTAATTTATTTAGCAATTGATGCAGTGAAATTGATACAAAGGATATGTGTGGACGATTCGTTTGATGATGTCAGGACACAAACGTTATAATTATGTGTACTGTGAAGTTTATTGGATGTGTTCGTTTTATTTTAGAGAGTTTCTATTCAGACCTACTGGAAATTGTGTATAGTATGAGTAATTGTATTGTGTTGATATTGATTATGGAAGAGGCAGGTATGCGATGGAATTGGAAGGTGATATCGTTGACTAGGCCTATACACTTTGTCAATTGATAATTACTCTTTCTACTGTAGGCTGCTATAAAATTTTTCTTTATACGTGTAAGCTAGCTGTTCTGATTTATACACAGTTTTAACTGACCACTCCCGTACGAAGGACGGGCTAAAACCTCGTTATTATAAATGTGAAAGTTAGTGTGTTTGTTTGTTTGTGTGTTTGAAGTTCAATCACGCATAAACCACTGGACGGATTGGGCTGAAATTTGGCATGATGATAGCTTACATTCCTAATTAACATATAGGCATATTCTTATCTCAAAAATCCTTTCGGGCTCCGCCCCAGTGGCTCTGTAATTACCCTTGTTAACCTTATGAGTATTCATATTTAAAGGGAATTAAAGAATTTAGTCAGCTGTTTCAACTAAAAAAGTTGGTTCTATGATATGGAAAAGCATTAAAAAGTTATAAGATTTACCAACAGGGTGCAGCACTATATTTTTTGCATTTATGAAAACAGCTAATTTGAACTAAGCAGCAACAAAAAACTGTTATTCACAATGAGAACTGTCAAAGTAGGATTGTTTACAGTTATGTTTATGTTTTTCATTTCATGAATAATTTGTGATATTTTGCAAATTGTTGATAATTTATTTTTTTCTATTGTTTAGGTGAAGTGGTAGAAAATTATGGCTATGGTAGATGTGTAATACTATAGAATACTGTAAATTTAAAAAAGCAAATTTTATCAAACTTTGTCCTCCCTTATTGCAAACACAAAGCTTGAGTATAACTGCAATAAGCATTTTATACTTATATTCCAACCCCGTACGAAGGACGGGTACTCTGCTAGTCATGTATAAAACTATATTATTTGAGTTGTATGGGTCGGCAATATATATTTCCTCGTGCTCATAGTATAGAGAACTTCAATATGGTGTCTCACAAAGTGGTTTGGATGTTAGGTTTTATATTACTTGCTCTTTTATACAGCAAACATTTTAAAACTAATCATAAATTGTATAATAGGTGCTGAAAGTATTCTGTGAACATTTTATCCTCCTAACATGTTTAAAAACAAAATGACAGTACCTATATTAAAGATTCTACCCATTCACTTCCCTATTCAAAATTAATTTCTTAATCAACTATCTGATTTGTTTCTTGATTAAAGTTTTGACACTTATTGTTGAACAGTTGTTTGTTTGAAGAATATTGCTTGAGCTACAAAACCAAGCCTTAATAAGTAGAGTTTTATCGTAACTGAATTTCAAAGAGTGACTTTAAATGTTGGACAAAAAGTCATGTGCTGTTCAAGGTAACATTACAGAAACAGTTGGACTGGTGAAAGCTTGAACATGGGATTAGTATGTCTAGTTATATAGTTATACAGTGAAGTTATAATGTACTGATGACATACAGTTATTACGTTGACTAGCTGTGTTATTGGACTACATACGAGAATGCTTTTGTATGTTCACCAAATTTTATACTTTAATATCTCTTTATTTTGTCTTTGGTGTTTAGGCAGAATGCTTGGAACCTCTGAGTTTCATGGAGTCCTGAATGATGTAAGGATAACAAGAGGACATATTGTCATCTATATAATAAACAAAATCAGCGGATTATATATAGAAAAGAGTCTGAAAGTGCAGGTAAGTGTTCATAACGGTAATTTCCATAGAAAATGTAAAAAGGAACTATATTGGATAAGGTCCTACACTTTATTTAATCTAGATAGGTGGTCAGACCAGTGGCGGCTCTAGGACCTAGTCTAGGGGGGGGCTCCGGGGGGTGGGGGGGGTGTGGAGCACCCCCCAACAGGAGAGGGGGGTCCGGGGGTCCTCCCCCGGAAAAATTTTTAAATTTTTAAAGCCGTTTGGTGACTTTCTGAAGCAATTTTAACGCCTAAAACTGTGTCCAATAATAGTCCAAAAACTCCCATTTCACCTGTTGTTTGTTATGCATGAGCAAATAGACATAAGTAGAGTAAAGTAAAGTATATTTTTTAAATAGTTTTTACCAATTTATTTAATAGATCAGATTTATTATCCTAATATAACTAGGCCTATATTAAATATGAATAGATATTGCAAAACATAACAATTAATCCTCTATTGTGGTTTCTATTTCATAATTCAACTTTTTAAACCTAGTTTTAATTTGTACTGCTCAATTTCGGAATTTTGGGGGAGGGGTTTGACCCTCTAACCCCCCTCCCTGCCTACGGCCTTGTAAAACGGGACTACACTGTATTGAAAATATAACTAACAATTGATAATTTAATAGTAAAAAATCCACGGCAATAATGAGTAGATAACCAAACGGCAAGGCCTGACATTGATTGAATTGTATAATTTAAACACCCACGGCAATAACGAATAGAAAACCAAACCATGAGGGTAAGGCTTGACTAATTGTATTTTATATTAAAACATCCACGGCAATATGAGTAGAAAACCATACCATGAGGATAAGGCCTAACTTTAATTGTACTGTTTGAATGTGAAATCCATCCTCCTTTCTTTCTGCCCGGCGAAGTGATCTATTACTTTTTCGTTGAAGTTTAAAGTTGACAACAGCTTTTTTTCGATAGAACACATAGCAAGCGCACTTAGTCTGTCTTGTTTCATGGTACTCCTGGTAAACGTTTTAATTCGTTTCAAAGTAGAGAAACAACGTTCACTTTCCGAAGTAGTCATAGGTATTGTGCTTATGATTTTTAAAAGTTTGATTGACTCTGGAAGCACATCTTTGAGGTTGTTGTCATAGACAAAGTTGAGTAGTCTTAATGACCCTGTGGCCGTTGAAAAATCATCCCTATTGTAAATAACATTTAACTCCTGTTTCAATTCAGTTTTATTTAGGCTAAATAGTTCCGCAGCAGCGTGTAACTCTTTTTCGGGAAACTTGGTTTTAAACTCCCCAAACAAACTTGGCTGAAACAGTTTTGCCGCGGACAAATGATTTACAAACGTAAAACGGTCATCAATTCCCAACGTAATTATGTCACACACTTCCTTTGCGACGACGCGTTTTTGATCGTCGTGTCTTCTCCGCTTTTTGCTCGATTCGGGTTCACTATCTCTCGGTTGATCTAACATGGTCGAGTTTCTTACGCGATCTACCACAGTTTTGAAATCGCCGACAAACTTAAACGCCTTGACGCAATCAATTGTTGTTTGCTGCAGTTGGTTGTACAGAATGTCACTGTGGGGCAGTATTTGATTGAAAAAGTCCAGCCAGAAAATAAAGTCTTCGTCTTTTAGAATACTTCTTAGGCCAACAGCTTTATTTATTGTGGCATAGTCATTGGTGTCATCGTCGAGTATGTAACTTAAACATTCCTCCAACTCTCTTTGATAATTAAAAATTGTGCTTACAATTCTGGATTTAAAATTCCACCGAGTACCTGAGCTTTTTGGAATACGACGTTTTACTATCTCATCGAGAACTGCAGTTCTCTTTGTTGACTGGGAAAAGAATGATGAAACCCCTCGATATTACTGAAGAATATCTTAACCTGCTTATTTTGTGTAGCACTGCGTTCAATGATTAAGTTTAATTGATGTGCGTAACAGTGGACAAAATTTGCATTCTTATATTTAGATTTTACACGCGCTTGTACTCCCGTGTGTTGGCCACTCATTACGGAAGCCCCATCGTAGCTCTGGGCAATGACTTTATCAGGAGTTTTGTCGAGGTTTAATTGCTCTAATACTTCAAAAATTGTTTCGCTAACTGATTCTGCATCATGGCCTTTTGGTCTAATAAAAGTGATAAATCGCTCGTGAATCGTGCCATTCAGCTCGTACCTAATAACAAATACTAGTTGGAATAAAGTGGCACAGTCAGTTGTTTCGTCGGCTTCAATAGCAACATAGTCGGTTTGTGTCAATTCGTCACGAATCATTTGCAGACAAACGTAATATATTGAGTCCAATAACTCGTTCTGTATGGTTTTAGACAGACCCAAAAACACTCGGTTATTTGTTTGATTTATGTGCTGTTGCAATGTTACATCCAGCTCCGCCATAAGGTTAACCAAACCACGAAATATGCCAGGATTTTTTGAATTTTCGCGTTCATCATGTCCTCGTAATGCTAATTCAAACGCTCCACAAAATTTAATTGCATCAATTAGCTTACTTAGAATGTATCGATTTTTCGAAACATCTTCATTTTGTTTTTGTATTCTTAACCTATATGCATTGTCCAATTGGCATCTAATATCAACTTTACCTAAAACAGCATATTCTATTGACGCATTTATGTGTTTTTCACTTGTTTTGTGTTTTTTAACTTTTTCCAGTAGATGTTTAAGGTCTGAAATGCCGTCTACAGTCCATGCTCTATCTTGAACCCCCATGACCAAACAAGTGTAGCAGAAAAATGAATTTTTAATTGAACAACCACATAGCCAATCTGCATGATTGTACATATGTGGCGAAAATTTCCGTGTGAAGCTATTCTTATTCTTTGAACTGTTTTGAATTTGGTTTATGTTCATGAAAGGTCTAGGAGGTCCTAATTTTTTCAAAGAAATTCTGTGGTCAATATTTTTGATCCCTTCATTGATAATCAGGCTAACTTCGTTAGTGACGTTAGCCGTCGACGACAACGAAATGCCGCCGTCCATTATTATTTAGATTTAGGCCTTCAACCCACGGCAAATTTACCCGTAATAACTTATTAAGACTAATAATAAGTAACTATAACTAAAATTGTCCGAGTCACTTTACCTATGGTTAGTTTACTTAGTTTTCGGGTTGATTAGGTTAGCCTATACTAAAACTACAGACGTAACTTATTGACTCAAAGATACGAACTAACTAACTCAATCAATTAAGTATAACTATTAATAATTTCTACTTAGCTCTTTCAATCTTCAACAAACTACCGCTGCCTTCCTTACGCCTCCATCACTATCACTAAACACTATTGATCACAAAACAACAGGTCGTTTGGCACTAAACTATAACTGAACTGTGGTCATGGACATGGAAAGAAGTGAGGTTAGTTAATGTTTAGTTTATGGTAGTGACAGTGTGGATGATGGCTCCAGCGCTGCCAACATGGTTCTTCCTATCCTAATCGTGTGTGATGCAGAATTATCCAGTTTAGGGTGGCTGCCCTGATTTATGGATGCGCGCGCAGCTTTGGACTCTGCCCCAGAGTCCCTATTGTAAAGCATTGGAATGACGTCACGGCACCCTCAGCGCTGTTAGGTGTTTCTACCATAAGACTACATGCATTGAGTTTGGGACGGAGGTTGCCGCCGTCCGCAATCCACATTATGAAAGCGACTATCGCAAAACAGTCATTACTGGATTCAAAATTTAAAACTATTTCATTTCATATTATTATCATATTGATTAAGTAGTCGTAAGTAATTGTAATTTAATTTTAATTACGACATATTATTTTTTTATTACATAAATAAAAAAAATATTGATTTCTGTATTGTTGGGAGGGCGGCGTCCGAGAGTCCTTATGGGCTAGCCGCTACTGGGTCAGACATAAGGTGGGCTCTGAACTTGACATGGTCATATTGCCGAAAGCCATTGTTTATTGAATTTACTTTGAACCTCTGGGACAAAAGTCCAACATTCTAACCACCTGAATGAAGGAAACCTTTCATAGGTTATGGATAAAACACAATAACAATGTCATTGATAGAAACTGCCTGACACAGAGTCATCAAAGAATGTATCCTGCTCCTCTTCAGAGTGTTCTGACATTTGTAATAGGACATAGTTAAATAGACATTTCAACTAGATTCAGACATGAGCATTGGCAATGTAGCCTATGGGAATAAAATTACTACCTAAGTATGTACAGACTATTTAAGAAAATGAAAGCCATGAATTCCTAATCAAAATCTATAGTTTTACTATGGATAAAACATAGTCCCTTAGTAGATTTTCCATCTTTATGGAACAGCTGAAGACAATTTTATTGTTAGTTCTGTCCGGTTTTCTGTATATGTCGTGTTTTGTTTACAATTTGTTTCTTGTTATTTCAGCAATTTAAAACCTCATTTAACCAAATAAAACTATCTAATCATAAACAATTAATTGTCCACGTGCTATATAACCAAACAGTGAGACATAAAAATTATGAGAAACTACCCTAAAATAATAGAAACAAATTGTAAACAAAACACAACATCTACAGAAAACCGGACAAACTAACAATAAAATAGGCTTCAGCTGTTCTATAAGGATGGGAAATCTACCAAAGGACTATGTTTTATCTCTGGTTTTACCCAGTTTGATAAACTTGTTATGATTAAGTTACGGTACCTTTTATATTGGTCAGTTGCCTTTTAACTAGTGATGGACGAGACTAGATTTTTCACTTCGAGACGAGACGAGACAAGATTTTTTTTATTCCAGCGGAACGGGATTTTTTTTTTTAATTTTTAAAATTAAAATTTTTTTTAAACTTTTTAATAATTTAAAATGAAAAAAAAAAATAAAAAAATGAAAGTTTTTTTGTCGAAAATATGATGTAAGTATTTCAATCCTGCCCGAAGCTTTGACATAAAAAATTTTTAAAAAATCTCGAAGTTTTGGGTCTTGTCCATCACTAATTTTTCTTTTTACTTCCTTCCCCTATACACTGTACATTATATGGAGAAAATGTTTTGTCAAAATGTTCTAGTTGAGTCTAAGTTGAAATATCCGTTTTTGGTGAAATATCCATTTTGGGTCCATAACATAAACATAATAGATTTAACAATTCTGTAATTTTCAAAATTATCAATGACGTAGAAATAAACTCCAAACAATCTGGCAACACTGGTAGAGAACAGGCAACACCACAACACTTGGAAAAACCCATCCCCCAGCCCTGAAACCAGTCGACCTATACCCGTCATCGCCGTTCTGCGCCGCCGGTGTAATCAATATCTAATACTCTTACATTATATAATGTAAAGTCCTCCACAAACACTTGTACACAGTGACTTTTAGTTTTAAGGTACTCTGAAGATGCAACAATTGTGGCAAATGCTTATTATAGTAACCTCATCTTATAGGGAGGAACAATAAAATCGAGAACAAAAAGGCAACTAGCAAATATGATTACTTTATTCCTAATCCAGTGACCTGTACCAGTGTAGGGTTTTGGTAATCTAATAATAAATTTGCCTGTTCTAGCTGTCACCATGGAATATAAGTGATCAGCGAATGAAGGAAATCAGAAAAAACCTTACTTCTACAGTAAATCTAAACGATTTGTCATGTAGGTAAACATTTATACTTTTAACTCCTACTTTTTGACAATTGATTTACCATCTCTAATCTGATATACTATGTATACTCAATTAAGAAAAGAATATCCATTATAAACACATGGTATTTTTGATGATAAAATGCCACTTTTTTCTAAATCCAACTTCCTCTATTATAAGTTTTAAAAATACAATTTAAACACTCATGAAGTTGTCAAAATGATCCAACATGTGTAATAGTTCTAATTGTATCCAATTAAACTTAGTATTTTGTTTACTTAAGATTAACTATAGGTCAGTGTAAAAATAAGTTATTTGTATTATCAGTTATCAGGTCCTTTAAAACACCCACCATTCCATAAGTTGTATTTGATGATATTATATGAATCGTAATGATGAAAATGTGATTTGCTGTAGTCACTTTAGGTACATGTAATAGATTGACTAGAGCACAAACAAAATTAAATGAATCTATAACTATTTTACAATATGGTGCTGCATTTATAATTTTGATAAAAAGTACCTAATTAAATATTTAAGAAGTTGTTAATTTTTCAGCTATAATGAACTACATCTCATTCATTCCTGATACTTTGCCTGAGCAAGTAAATAAACATGAAATGCTGAGTTTGCTTCTAGAACCTATCTCGCAGGTATTCAGTTTATCTACGTCTAAAAGTATTAAGTAAAGTAAAGTATAGTATGAACACATGTTTGTATATTGTTGTTTGTAACTAGTGAAATATTTTGTATTTACTTATTTACTATAATAGCAATACTAGTGAATTTTACAATCGTTAGTTTTCAATCTGATAATAATGAATCTAAAATAAACGGTATCAGCAATCTGACACATACTTTCTCCCATTAGCTTGTCAACAACCATTTTCATGGGTAAGCGATGAGAGTAGACTAGGCCCGTTTCTTAAAAAAGGCAATGCAAGAAGCATTTCATGTAACAATTGAGGAAACAGCGTTTTTGATTCGAATAGGGGTAATCTCGGAGATAAAACATACAAAAGTTTGAGTAATGGTCTTTAATTAAATGGTCGCTTTATTTGGGTTTATTATAAATTATTTGGGACCAAATAAATTAATCAGCAGGTTTGCTGCTGCGGGGGTAATTAACTCTGAAGGATTTAATTTACTTTACTTAATTAAATAAATAAATAAAATCCTATAATATATAAATAAAGACTTAACTCTGAAATGGTCTTTTTCTTATATTTCTTGTTCTCTTCCGAGGACAGAAGTTTTGGCGGCCATGTTGGAACCTATGCCCTCTAAACTCAAAAAGAGTAAATAATGAGTGTTGCAATGCGTTTGGAATCCGATAAAATGCATTTGTAAGCGTTTAAATAATTATTTTAAGCCAACAAACAAGGGAGATATGAGGAAATTAGAGTTTTTGGCGGTTATCTTGGCCGCCATCTTGGATACCGCACTTCCGGTTCAAATTCCGCGTTGGCAACAGGCAGATTCGTACTCAGCAGGGTTGAAATACCCTATAAAAACGTTGTTTCACCAATTGTTACATGAAATGCTTCGTGCACTTTATAGAGAGGGATTTTATAATTATTGGCCTGCTCTAAGAGTCTTGGGGCCTCAAATGCTTTGTCATGGTTTCTTATTAGTTTCTAGAATCAAGTTTGTAATTTATACATATTCCCTTAGGTTACACTCAACACAGTGGCGGATGTGAAACTAAGTGCTTCAACAATGAAAATCGTTTTACAAACACTAAATAGGCCTACACCTTTAAACGTTGACTTGGGACTCATTTCAAAGACATTGGCTTTAGTATCAAGTCAGACTGAAATCATTGTAAATGCTGTAAAAAATAGAGGGACATTGCAATGGACGTCTTCGCAGGAAGTTAAACTTGTAGCGACGTAAGGATAACAATCAGTATCATTAGTAGCATAGTAGTCTGTGTATGTTTATAAAATGTGAATAGTTTAAATTATTGCATGTTTTACAAAATCTAAATCAGTATAGGCCTAATGCTATTAAGCTCTAAGCTCAAGAACTGGCAAATTATTAGCAAGTACAGTGGATTTTTTGGCAATGATTTATTCAGTTCCTTAATTTAAAAGTATCCACAATAATATGTTGATAGTCATGGTTCACAAATGAAAGTAACCTAGAAAATATTATTATATTTCGTAAATAACTTATGTTTTCTAATAATTTCCAGAGCTCTGCTTGAATGTCTAAACACAGCTCTTAAATGTGAAAGCGTAAAGACTAGTGGACTGTCTGAAGAAAAAACTGGTTTTGACACCTTGTTTTTGGTAAGCTAAGAAGTAAAGTAGAACCATTTAAGAATATTTCATTTACTCTAAAAATTATTTACCTAGTTAATCTACAGAGTACCAAGTTTTAAGCAAAACCTCTGATTTAGTCTTTAAAAGGCAAAATAGACTTTTGACCTATCACTCACATTCTTTTAAAAACTTATCATAACTCCCTTGAAACTCTACCATATACAATAACTATAGCGCATATCAACGTCATAATAATAACTACACTGGCACTCTAAAAAAAATATAATTTTGTTCGCGTGAGATTTATCCCATCCTTGTTGGCAATACACTTGAGAGTTAGTGGTAGGTTCTTGTGAATAATGACACACTAGGTTATAACTGCTCAGTTAACATATAGGTGCTGACTGGGCTGAGACATGGTGTGGACTGATATGAATATAGAGAATTAGGCAGCGTTGGAAAAGGTGGTGTGTGATATGACGCCATTGGACATGTCATGACCTCCCTTTATAAAAAAATCATCTGATTTCAACTTGCAAATACAAACATACACAATATAGATCATGGTAACATTGGTAACATCATGATGGTACAAGTAACAAAGGTAACATTATGATGGTACAAAAATGATCTTAAATGTTCCTTTCAATTTACTTTGCCCCTTTCGCTCCCTTTTACAATTAATTCAAGCAAATGGGTTTTGGATTTGATGATATCTGTAGCAAAAAAAAAATATTTGCTTTTTGTAAGAGCTTCTTTACTTTTTCATACTTACTGTAGGCGTTCATTTAGTATTTTGAATTTCCGGAATCACATTTCCAAAGTTTTTACATGTCAAGTCCTATAACATAATTTTTGTACACAACAGTCTGATATTTGAAGGTTTTGTATGATTCATTGTAAACATATTTCCAGCCTTATGTTTATTTTTATATGGGCTTTCAGTTGAGACAAAATGCAAAAGAAAATAGTGAGATACTTGATAAAGTTAAAGACATTCTTTCCTACATTCAGGCCCCAGGACTGCCACCTAATAAATTGGCTACTTTTGACAAATCATTTCAAATTTGGACCATGGTAAGTGAAAACAATTATTCTACATTTGAAAGGTTAAACTGTTTAACAGATAGAGAGAGATGACAAGTTTGTTCGTTTTCGTGATGTTCCAGTCCAGTGAGCTGAAACCCTACTGGACTGAGGTAGTTTTAGGACTATGTCCTCTTCAGCCATAAAAGTTGATAAAAAGTTCTGTACTTAGTAAATGAAATATCATACTTGTTCTTAAACTGTAATTAACGTTTTTTTATCGTTTGTTTATAATTGCTTTAATTTTAATTCAACAATTTCATTTAAAGGTTTTAATAGTTACATTTACAAAAGCTGTATAGTTAAACAAAATCAGCAGTTTCAAACAGTTAATCAATTCTGTTTGACATTGGCTTACACTAGGGTGTTTTAATCATCTCTGATGGATGATTCTATTTAGGGACAAGAAAGCAAATGTGCATTATGAATCAAGTTATTTCAATTGATTGAATGAATCCAATAAACCTCATATTGTTGATATTTCCATAAACACAGCTCAGAATAGAAGATTACTAATTCAGGAGTTTCCCATACTCATGTATATTTGAGCAATTTTTCATATGGGCACAACCTATGTTTAGTATAACAGTCAAGTTTGTTTTTTATACTAAGTAGTTTCATCAGTATAGATTTAGAAAAAAAAATCATCTAGAAATAATATTGATAACTATTAGGGAAATGATGAAGAGTATCCAGTAACAGAAATGTTGAAGAAGGACGACACAATTCCATTTTCTGCTTCGAAACACCATTTGCAGACTTATTCAAAAAGCAAAAATAATGACATTGACTTATTTTTTCAGGTAATGTAAAATATTCTGTAACAGTTGTTTAGTTGTAGTGCACATTAGTTTTAACTAGCAGAACCTATTAAAACTGAGACAAAAACTGTCAAGTGATGTTTGAAATATGAGAGCTGTAGTTACAATCACTTTTATTTTTTGTTCCACCGTTGTGTAAAGAAAAAAAATAAACGTTCTTTACTTACTTATTACTTCAAAATATACTCTTTACATTAATTGATCATTCCATCACTAAAATCGCCTCACACCTTTATGTAATGCAATTTGGCTATTCCATATAGGTGTGAGTACAACAAAAAGTTGCCCCCTGGTGGGGTTTCAATGAATTTAATTTAGTTGATCAGACAACTGAGGACCAATCACAGAGCCGGCAGTGGAAGTAAGATGTTGTATTGAGCCCTGATAATTGTGTATCCCAGAAGTCCGATTTATGGACCGTTGAGAGGTCTGATATGTCCTCCTGAAAGTGCTTTCAATAATCTTAAACGTAACACTTCTTAAGATGCAATAAAAAGTATATCAAATACTCTGAATGCAAAATTACACTCTTTGTTGAAACTTTGTTAAAACATTGGTTTTGACTCTGAAATATTGAAACGATTATGCAAAATATTGATGAACCAATATATAATAAATTATGTGTCAATTGACTACTTAATGATATTGTACTTTATTGCAATTGTCCGGTTAAGCCGATTACCTTGAAAAGATTAACACAGGAGAATTAATAAAATTGATGAAAGAATAAGCTTTGTGTATTATCACTATAAATAATACAAATATTACAAATAATCAATATTAATATTCAAGTTTCTGCTAAAATTAATAATATTCAAGTTTCAGCTATAATTTATAATATTCTAGTTTCTACTAATTACACTTCAATTTAATGTGAGAGAGTATTGATTGTGGTCTTTTGACTTTCTTTCCTGAAATATTGACAGCAGAGCCTCGGGAACCTAGGTTTAATTTATTCAATCTGTTTTAGGCTATTAGGCTTCCCAAAGTATGGTATTTACTTACAACTGGCCAGTTGATCTTATGTGCAAAGGGGCTATTCGTAGATCTGTGTACAGCACACTTTGTTGCTCAGTAGCAAACTGGACCAAAACGACTACTGAGTCGTTTGTTTAATTTAAGTTAAAAATATGATTTTTATGGCGTTAATGGAAGCCTACCTTGTAGCCTGTATTGACACCTAACCTTCAACCGGGACAATGCTCTAATTGAAACCTGAATTTGCACCCAATCAAATACTCTCAGTGATCTCTTTATGTATTTTTGAAGTGATTTCAAACCCAAATATTAAAGCAAGAACAAATTGTAACAGTTTTACGTGACAGACAGCTGATTACCCTAACAATATAATTTGAATTTAAGCGCAAAACTAATATGAAATTTAACTGGTATAAAAATTTACCCAAATTATTAATATAACAATATCTACAAATGTATCACAGTATGTATTTTAAAATAAGTAAATGGCAATAATTCTAAAGCAATGTGACTGAATTTACACACTAAGACATGAAACCTGCAAGAAACATGATTAAACAAATATGAATGTGGACAGATTGGCTTCTCCTAATGATATAAATACAATTTACACAAAACATTTACTTACATACACAGAAGACAATTTTGACGACACATAAACATATAATTACGACACTGTACTTGGGATAGGCTCTACGAAAATGGTCAAATCTGACGAATTTTGCCGGTCGACGTCGAACTTAAAGACTCGTTTTGTTTCAATTCGTAATTTAGTAAATGCTGTTTCACGGTTTTAGATATCAATGCACTCCGGAGATCGAACAATTGATTCGTTGACGAAATACACGTTACGACTACCAAAAGTGATTTTTGCAAATTGAAAAGGAGAATTTAAAGATTTCCGTACATCGCGGCTCAGAGCTTGGTCCCAAGTGACCGTTAGAAAAAGACGTCCGCACAAGTCAGCAAATTGGTGTTCCTCCGCGCTCACGTGATTGGCCGTTGTTGGTCCTTGCCTTCGCGCGTTTTCAGTTTGATTTGAATTTTCATTTGGTCATTCATTTTGAATCGGTACATGATGCCCCCTTGCCAAAAAAATTGGCCCGAGCGACCACAAGGTCCGCAAGAAGACTTCGTCCAACCCGGGACAATTTTCAAACCGGCGGCGCGACGCGACGCTTGTGACGGCGGAGAGACGTTTACACAACAGTTTCACATTTACACAGTTACAATTTACATACATTTAAACACGAAACAATTTCTTCACATTTACATTTTTTTGAATAATACTCATATAATAAATATTCAATATTAATATTTTCAAAGTGTGAAAAACATGCTGGGAAAAATTTTATTTTAAAACAATTTTTTTTTCATTTTTTCTTATTTCTATTTTTTTTGCTTAACATTTATTTTCTCTTTTTTTTTTCCATTTTCCATTTTTTTTTCATTTCATTTGTTTGCCTTATTTCTATTTGTACTGAGGGCGAGAGCGATTTGAGATGGGAGAGCTGACAATATCTGACACCAAAGTGTCTCACAAATTACCACTTACATCTACTCCACACGAGTGGTGAAAAACGCGCACGCTTAACCACACTGTAGAATTACCTAGCACTCAATGAAGCAGACAGCAGCAGTTCATTCATGGTTCACTATCGGCGATCAGCTGTTGGCGATAGAGTGGGGCGGGTGGGGTGGGGAGTAGGTCATCGACTCGTGTGTGGCGCCGAGTGTGGTCATCGAGATGTGGCGCACCAGCTGTTTGAAACCTGTACTTGATAGGTGTACGTTGTCTGGCTTCCCATTTCGATACTTCTTGTTGTATAATGATAGATTCATTGGTGCGAATGGTGGGAATAGTTTATGGAATTTTATTGATTGAATGGATGGAGGATTATTTAAAGACTGGATAAAAATATTTAAGGATTTAATTTTGGGTTGAATATGGGGGGTATGTAAAGTGGGAGGGAGGGTGGTAATGTAGATGGTTTTGTTGTGGGATTTCAGTAAACGGATAATTGTCTTTATATTGATTTTGGTTTTCTCTGGGGCAATGGATTTGAAAATGTCATTAATTCCAATGAAAATTATGCATGTGGGTTTTAGCACTGACACTTGGTTTCTGATAGCGCACTTGAGATCTTGAGTAGTCCATCCGCCGTGAGCAACACTGTGTTCAATCGACCATTGTTGTGTAGTTGATTGTTGTCCGCCGCCCACTCTGACCAGCCTGACCCCTTGCGAGTCTCCCAAAACACTCACAGCGACGGGTGACATTTCTCTTCACACTATTCACTGTTGGAGAAAAAAATGGTTTGGTGTTACCGCCTTAAAATTAACAATATTGTGTTTAAAAAAAAACGAGTCGGTACCCCCTCAAACAAACGTAGGCATTAACAACAATGATTTTTTTCCTAATCTCTCGAATAATACTTTTTTATCTGACATACATGAACTACTTTCGCAATGGATGGGTCCCGATTCAGACGGATTTTTACATTTACCTGATTTAATACTTTAATTACAGTATACGGTCCATCCCAGGTATGAGTTAGCTTATGACTGATTTTATTTGCTTTGTTACTAGGCGTATATTTTTTGTATAATACCAGATCACCTTCAGTATATGGAGACGGTTTTCTATTTTTATTGTATCTCTCCTTTATCTTTTGATGAGCTTTCTTAGAGTGTTCTAATATTTTACTCACTCTATCCTCGGCTGTTTCAGTCGAGCATTCATCGCCAAGGTCCCAGTGTAGTTTGAGTGAATGGTTTAACTCTCTACCAAGGAATGCATAAGCTGGAGTCACACCTGTAGTTTCGTGTAATGCAGAGTTCAATCCCATACAAAGGAAAGGTATATTTTCGTCCCATTTCTTTTGGGTTTGAGAATGATAGATTTTGAGTATCATTTTGAGATTTCTATTTAATCTCTCGGATTGATTTGAATTAGGCCTAGCCACTGATGTAGTTATGTGTTTCACCCCTAAACCAAATAAAAAACTCCTAAACATTTCGGACTTGAAAATGGATGCATTGTCCGATACAATGGTTTCTGGCAACCCATGTTGTGAAAAAATCTTATCCTTTAACGCATTAATTATTGTCTTTGAATCTGCTTTTCTCATTGGAATAATCCAGCTGAACTTAGAGAATGAATCAATACATACAAAAGCATAAGCATTTCCTGAAACAGATCTTACTAGTGGACCAAACATATCAATGTGGAGTCGTTCAAAACATTTCTGGGGTGGTTTTGAGTTCATCAAACCTATCTGTAAATTCTGGGCTGGTTTCGAGAGTTGACATAGTTCACATGAACGTACGTAATTTTTTACGTCGTTAAAAACTCCATCCCATGTAAAATTCTTTATTAGGCGTGCTGTAGTCTTTTTTATGCCCCAATGAGAGTGAATGGATATGTCGTGGAAATATTTCATCATCATAACACGCATTGAACTAGGTACCACAATCTTTGGGGAACATTTGATGTTTCTCTGGAATCTTAGAATGCCCTTTTTTATACAATAATGAGGTACAGTTATACCATTCTCCAGATCAGTGATGATTTTACCTAGGGTTTCATCTTCCCTCTGCTTATCACTGAGTGATTCGAACGTTTCTGGAAAATGTTGTAAAAAACAAACTTGATCAGGTTTTGGAGTATTGTTTTGTTTTATAGCTTCCTCAGGTTCGAACATTCGACTCAGAGTATCACTTACAATGTTTTGGGTGCCCCTACAATGTTCGATCTTGGCAAAAGGAAATTGTGAGAGTCGTAGTTTCCATCTAGCTAACATTCCGACACTTTTATCGCAACCCATCACATACGTAATAGCCATGCAGTCAGTTTTAATGACAAATGGTCTGTCTGCCAAATAATCTTTAAATTTTTCTAAACCAAAAAGTACGGCAGCAAACTCCTTTAAATACATGCTATATCTAAGTTGGTTGTTTGAGAAGGTACGACTCGCAAACGCTATGGGGACAGCTCTACCATC